AAAAAAAAAAAAAATACAAGAGGATTTGCTTAAAAAATGTGATTTTCTGACATGATGATCGAGACAAAGGCCGCTCGCGCAACAGATGTGGACTTCCATGTTGGTGATGCTACTAAGAATACTCTCGTACGCTGAGCGCACCTAGGTCAGGTCCTTTGATCCTGGATTGCAAGTCTACTCAGCTCTGTTCGATAAGTATGAGTAATTGCCTGGTAGGAACGAAAAGTGCGAAAGGTCAAGAACCTCAGCAGCTCTCTGAGCAATATCTCTACAAAAAAATAATTAAAAATTTGGAAATCACTCAAAATTTACAGAAGAAAAAAAATTTTCACCGAATAACAGCAATAAGTACTTCCAAAGCGGCAAGATAACTGAACCTGGATTGGGAGTTGCAGGGCTTGGGAATGAGGTGGTGAGGCTCAACAGACATACAAACCGTTGAATTTCCATTGGACTAATTGCAAAAATGTTTCTATCAGCAGAGCCACTGAGCTGGTAATTCCTTCAGGAGAGAAGAGAACCCCAGAATCACCAAAAGACTGACTAGTTGCGGTGAAGCACCAGTCAAAGCAACGGAGAAATAAAAAGGAAATGACATAATTTTCCGCTACGCAACTGATGAATCAGTTGTAAACTATTAGCCCATCAAATATCTGGTAACAGTAGCAGCAAATTTTGGAAGCGAATCAAAGGCAGCTTAGAGAAGAGATCTGAGAAAAACTTATCAAAAGATTCGAAACCTCGCTTGTCGTAGCCATTAAATCCTTCGCCGTCCGTGTTATACAGTGCCCTTTTCATACCAAATCCAGAACCTTCCAGCGAATCCAAGGCGCGTTTTCTCAGTCCAAATCCAGAACCTTCTAAATAGTCCAGAGCTCGTTTTGAGAAGCCACCGAAGCCTTCACCTTCAATTGAGTCAAGCGCTCGTTTCTGCATTCCGAAACCAGAACCTTCCAAAAAATCCAAGGCTCCCTTCGTTGTTTTGTCATCACTTCTAAGATAATTTCTCATTCCACGGTCATTTCGAAAATCGGAGGAATCCAGTGTTCGTTTCGAAAATCCACCGAAGCCTTCGCCTTCAATTGAGTCCAGTGCTCGTTTTTTCATTCCAAAGCCGGAACCTTCTAATGAATCCAGTGCTCTCTTCATACCAAAACCAGCTCCTTCCAGTGAATCTAGCGCTCTTTTCGTTCTTCTATATCCGGATCTTTTAAAGCCAAAGCCAGCGCCTTCTAATTCGTCCAGTGCACGTCCTACTCGTGTTTTTTCATCTCCTGTATTTTGCCGATTTTCGTAGTTCTTTTTTGATTTTGCTTCTGCAATCTGAAAAGTAAAAATTTATCTTTTGTTTTTCACAATTCCAGTTTAAATCGCCACCTCAATGCGTGCTTTTTTTAGAGTTTCATAATTTTTCTGATTACGGCGTTGAACATGCGCGAAATAGCACGCCATGCACTTGCAAGGAAGTTTTCAGTGCACTTGCGCCTATTTGAGTTTTGAAAAATAAGTTGCTTTCGGAATGTGGTCTTAATTTTCAATGTACTCCGGGGTGGTAGGATATTTTTCAGAAATTATAAATTAAAAATAATTGTGCTATCATCCAGCTTGTCCTGAAAATACTATTCAAGAAACTTCATAATGATTAAGGCGAATTTGTTTCATGATATTATATGAGTGATTTTTTTTGTAGACTTTTAAACCAGGATCAAAAGGCCTGGCTTAGCTGTTTAGTATCCCAGTAACATCATTACATCCGGCTCCCACATCGACCGTCTGGAGCAGCTCGGGTAATTCTGATGAAGCAGTAAAAGTAGAACTGTTAAATGCTTTTGCGCTAATTATGAAAACATTTTAAATGTTTAATCTGAACTAAACGCACTTCAGCTCTGTATGATAATTCTGAAGCATTTTTTTAGAATTTGAGTGAATTTTTTCGGAAAAAATTTACCAAAATGTTATTCAGCTCCTCTCAACATGTGGATACCACATCATTATCTAGACAACTTTTGGAACATTTTAGTGTAAATCTAATCAAACAAATGGCAGTTCGAAAAACGAAAAGCCTTGTCATGTTCCTCCACTCGAAGAAGAACCAGTGAATTGGTAATCCCCTCAGAAAACAAAGCTACTGCCAGGTTTGCTGGCTGCCTGGCCATCAGCTGATATAGCATTGATCAAAATAGATTCGTTTGCTATCGATAAAATTTTAATAAATCATTCTAAAGAAGTAAGACATGGCTAAGTTTTATTAAGGCTCAATGAAAAAGAAGGTATGCCTAAATTTCTTGAAAATTCTTAGTAGTGAACTTACCAATAAAAGAAGAAGCACAAATAACAAATTATTTGCGAGCATTTGGGAATCCTTCGCGCAACTGCAATGTAAAATTTCTGTATTAGTTGTTTTTGCG